ACGGGACCGGAACGCCAGGTCGGAGCAGCGCCCCGCGTCCGGGCAGACAGCGTCATTGAGGGAGGAGACGGAGCCGGCGAGGGAGAGGAGTCTGGAATTAAAAGAACGACCTTGGGGAATGATACGGACGGCATAAAGAAGATGCCCGAGGAGGGAGAGCAAGGACGCCTCGAAGTGACGGGAAGGCCAAGGCAGACCGGGAGAAAGCGCGGATGCGTTCGAGCTTGTCCAGCGGGAGGGAGGCCTCCATGGCGCGCGTGACGAGGCGGATGCCGAGAAACTCCAGAGCGTTGGCGGGGCCTGTGGTCTTTCCGGAGTGGAGGAATCCGAGGGCAGAGAAGGCGGGCCTGAGCTTGCGGAGAGAGCCCCCGGAGCAGTCTGAGGGTGGGTTGACTACGAGGGAATCATCGGGGAGATGCAGACAGAGGGGAGCCGCGCGTAATTAAGCAGAATCCGACACGGCGCCTCCGAGAGATTGTTGAACGAGAGGGACTACTCTGGCAGTCAAAAGTGAGGCGCACTGCGAAGAAGAACTCCGACGCCACTTGACCCCTGAACAGCGCCAGTGGTCGGGGTGGATGGCAGCAGCTCGAACGCGTCCGGGATGACGGCCTTGGAGAGCCAGGAGCCGGGGCCGAAAGTCTTTATCAGCCTGATCGCGTGGTCCACGGTAGCGGCCTGCAGGGAGAAGGGCGCTGGAGGGAAGGGGCTGCAGTCCAGTGTGAGGGATTTAAACAAGTTTTACGGTCCAAGTGAGGGATTAACTGAGCCCGCAGTCCAAGTGAGGAGTTTAAACTGAAAGCTTACAGTCCAGTGTGAGGGATCCAACAGAGCCTGCAGTTTTTTATTATTATTATTTTATTTTTTATTTTTTTTATTTATATTTATTTATATTTATATTTATATTTATTTATATTTATTTATATATATATTTTTTTTATATATAAGCGTTCCAGATATAAGCAGTACCATATATGCAGTTCCAATATGAGCAGTTCCATATATAAGCAGTTCCGTATATAAGCCGTTCCATATATAAGCAGTTCCATATATAGCAGTTCCATATATAGCAGTTCCATATATAGCAGTTCCATATATAGCAGTTCCATATATAAGCAGTTCCGCATGGAGCAGTTCCAGGTACGGTATAACAGTTCCAGATATAAGCAGTTCCAGATATAAGCAGTTCCGTGAGGGATTAACCTGAGAGCTCGCAGTCCAATGTGAGGGATTCAATTTGGGAGCCGCAGTCCAGAGGGATTTAAAGAGAGCCTGCAGGCCAAAGTGAGGGATTAAAACTGAGCTCGCAGTCCAATGTGAGGGATTAAAACTGAGCTCGCAGTCCAAAGTGAGGGATTAAAACTGAGAGCACGCAGTCCAATGTGAGGGATTAAACTGAGATCTTGCAGTCCAATGTGAGGAATAAACGGAGCTTGCAGTCAGGGTGAAGGATTTAACGGAGCTTGGTTAAAGAGAGCCTGCAGACAAATGCGAGGGCTTTAAACTGAAGCTTGCCCACCAATGCACGGAGCCAACTGAGCCTGCAGTACAATGCGAGGGGAATAAACCGTCCGCAGATCTCATACTTACCCACAACGCCAGAAGACCAGGGACAACACAACGGGACCACGCCGTACCGGCACGAGGAGGCAGGGATGCGCACAGCTCCCACCGCACCGGTCCAGACCGGCCGTATGCAGCAGCAGGCCGCGACGAGACGAGCAGCGGCGAACCCGCAGAAAGAGCCCGCAAAGGAGGAGAGCGGCAAAGACCCACGGACCACAGCACGAGACCCGCAGCAGGTGCAGCGACGGGAGGAGCAGACCACACGCAGCAAGACAGAGGACAGCAGGGACCGCAGGAGTAAGCGTGAGTAGACAAAAGCGATTCCTCCAGAACGGTTCATGCAAGGCTTCGAGAAGGCCGAGAGTGGGAGTTTCTCCGCTTTTAAGCGGCTGCCTGTCCGGCACGGTGATTGGAAGGGGGCGTTTGCTGTGCGATAGGCTGGGGATGTGAACCGGCCTGGAGGGGGTACCTTTGGCTGACGTCTACCAAATTGAATTTCCGCGGGCTGCATTTCTCTCCCTGGGGATGGATTTACTGGAAGAACTCACGGAGAGAGGGGCTTTTCACAGTTCAGGAGTTTACAGAACCACATGTGCAGAACAGATGTCAACAACATTCTTGCTCCAGAACAGCCGTGTCAAACTCAGGCCCGTGGGCAAAGTCGGCCCACGGAAAGACCATTTCTAGTGGCCCCTGAAATGATTTGCAATTATAGTAAGTAATGTTTATTTATATAGCGCCTTTCACAGACCAGAGTCAAAGCAGTTTACAATTGTTATTTTTGGCCATTAGTCTCTCACTCCACACAGAGATGGGAGGAACATGCAAACTCCACTCAGAAAGGCCATGTTCCGACTGGGATTCGAACCTAAGATCTTCTGGCTGAGAAGCGAGAGCACTAACCACTCAGCCACTATGTCAGTGTTACCGATGTGGACATGAGCTGGAGCCAATTTCCTTTAATGGGAATTTGTTCAAAGAGACAGTTGGTAGAGCATTGGGACTGAAGGTTGTGGGTTCGATTCCCAACACGAGACCTTTTCCACCGACTCCCACTGATTTCTCCCATTGTGTCCTTGAGCAAGACACTTGACCCCATTTTGCCTGAAGCCCCCTTTGAAAGACCAAGGCCCCTGTGGATTAGGATCAGAGAGGGGCTGGTTGTCTGTGAATATGACTGCCACCCCTGACCCAGGCATGGATTAAGGGGAAGAAGATGGGGCAGATGAATGTTTGAAAATACCAGTGTGACTGTGTTTTCTCTGCTGTTTCCAGATGGAGGTTGTTGTGGTTGTTCTGATCATCATGAGCACATCTGGAGCTGATGAACCGAGACCAAAACAAACTGAAGCAAAGTCATTTCTTAAAACTAACTAAAGTGTAAAAAACTAAAGAATATTTGTCGTTTGAGAAAGACTTAACGAGCGATTTACCACCTGCCTCTGTTTTCTTTGGCTTCATGAGACGCTCGTAACGGACCCAGAACCACAGCAGCGACTCATTTGGATCTCAACACCAGGTTTGTCATAAAGATGTCGGGATTCTTCTCATTTAAGAAAAAATGTGAAGAAATGTAAAGAAGTTATAATAATAATAATAATAATAATGATAATGATAATGATAATAATAATAATAATAAAAATAAGTAATAATAATAATAATAATACTATTAATAATATAAAAAAAAAAATAATGATAATAATAATGATAATAATAATAATAATGAGAATAATAATAATGATAATAATAATAATAATAATAATAATAATAATGAGAATAATAATAATAATAATAATAATAATAATAATAATAATAATGATAATAATAATAATAATAATAATGAGTTAGTAAATGTGTTCAAATCCATTCAAGGAGGAGATACAGGACCATTTCAAACCAGTAATAGTTTAAAATCACAGATTTACAGAATTCTAAACACCAAAGAGCAGCAAAAGTTGAGGATATTTTAGTACTCATTGATGAAGGGAAGGACAGTTTTTTTGTATGGCACAGTTTATACACGAGGCATCGGAAAGCGCTGAACAAAAATATGAAGGATCAGTGAGAGGCTGGTGCTCTGTGGACACCCCCGACCCAGACATGGATTAAGGGGAAGAAGATGGATGGACTATGATTAATCTGAGCACATTCTGACTGAGTCTTAATCCAGATTCCCCAAAGAGACAAAGCAAAATGATTCTGTTTTAACCTTTTAACATTCACTCCTTGAAAAAATCAATGTCACCTTTTTCTTTTTTGAATTCTCTAAGATAGTTTTTACGTTTTTTTAATAAAGGCCTGATGTAGTTTGATGTTAAACGTGGCTAAAACCAAGTGAGAAACCCACAGAGGTACATTTCAGTTCCAAGCTGGTACTGTATTGACTCCAAAGGGGACCTCCCCAACGGTCAAAAGACACAGAAACGTCTCCTTTGAGGAAATAAAACAACAGGAAATCAGGCTAAATGTCTTTGTCCCGTTATAGAAATCTTTCAGTAAAGTAATCTGAATGAACACCAAATAGTTCTGAGTGTAAGTTATTAACAGTGAACTCTGGATTCAGACACAGGCCATAATGCTCAGGTCAGTGACAGATGGAGACGCATCATGTCTTTGACCTGGGTCAGAACAATATGTTCAGTTCAAAAGCAGATTGTTACATATATCAGAGTTGTATCAGAGTTGTATCAGAGTTGTATCAGAGTTGTATCAGCGTTAGGACGCGTAAAGAGAAGCCTTGAGCGACACATATCAATGTTGACTTCATCTCTGTAATATCTAGAGCAGATCTGTGTTTGTTTACTCTGGTCTATTTAATGTACAGTTATTTCCTCATTCTAACCCGAACCCGTGGTATCGGTATCGGTTCTGTTATTCATTGTAATTGTGCACATTAACTAATGAATAAACTCACACTTTGATTGTTTTGCAGCCCTTGGTTGTTTACATTATTTTTGCTCTTGGTCACTGCAGAATTTCCACAACAGTCCCGTTGGAGAATCTAGTTTTAACACAGTCAGAATGTGTCAGATAAAATCACTCAACTTTATCATTTCCTCCTATTTTCTATCATTTTTTACAGTGTAGTGCATAAAAAAGTCCAGCCAACTCTGAGCTTTTAAGAAATGATTAAAAAGCAGAGAGTGGATCAGCGAGGGCCCGGGCCGCTCCTCCAGAACCTTCTCGACGATAGAAAAAGCTTTGTCTCCTTCTACAAAGAACAAAGATATTGAGCAGTTTCTCTGGCGATAGTTTCTGACGCTGGTGGACTGCCAAACGGCCGGACGCCAAGACCAGACCGGCGCCAACTTTCCATTTTTAATTTACTTTTATGACACGGGACCGGCGCTGCTTCTGTGAAAAGGTGCATCCGGTCAGAACCTTCTGTGGGTTTGGCAACGACACGGAAGCAGCGGGATTAGATCTGCACGTTTATGTTCCCCGGTGCGTCCCCTATTGTCTTCCCCGTTCCGTTAGGCTTCGTTCATTCTCCTCGTCTGGAAAATGACTTTGAGAAGAAGCCGTATTGTAAGAAGTGGTGAAAAATGAGTTAAAATTTGCTAAAATGTCGAAAAAAATGCATGATGTAATATTGCATTTCCTGTGGTTAAACGGTTTGATTCTCTGATCTGTTGTTGGTGAATCGACAACTGTGTAAAGTCCTTTGTGACGACTGCTGTTGGGCTTTAGGGCTACACTGCTAAAAGTAATGAAATTTAAGGAAAAAGTTGCTAAAATTCAGTAATATGTATCTACATTTAAGCTCAAAGATAATGTAATAATTTGACATATTTCTCCGTTACTGGCAAAAGATATGGCTAAAGCTAGGCTAAATGCTAAAGCTAGGCTAAATGCTAACGACTCACTCGGGCTCATTACATACGTCACAGTAAACTCAGATCCAATGGTTTCAATCTGCAAAAGGAGTTAGCCCCTCCCACCTGTTAACGGAGTCAATGGAGACAATCCAAACCTTAGTACAGAATGAAATGAGTACCATGGTGTAGTAAGGCCAGGCTAAGTCAAAATCTACTCAAATTCAGATTAAAAAACACCCCATTCCGGCAATAACAACCTCAAATCTCATCATTTTTTGCAGTGATAGAATTGCGTTTCTGTTTTTCCCTGATAACTGCCTGAGACCATACGCAGCGAAGACAAAACCCAGAACCGAGCCGAGCCGTGCCACAGAGAGGCAGCCGACAATGGACGGGCCCTGTTCCTGCGACCGCTGACACCATCTGGACCGTTGAATGGCGGCGTCAGTGCGGTCGTGGCCAGCGCTGGTTCGGTGGAGGGTTTGGTGAGAGCGGGAGTTGGCAGTCGCTAAAGGCCACGGTGTTGGAATGTTCAGCAGAGATAGATTACAGCGATTCCTTTAATGGCTGTGTTTCATCAGAGGCTTTTGTGCCAGAACAGAGACGGGCTTTGATTCACCAGACACGCCGGCGTTTCTCATATGATTCAGGATTTTCATTTTCAGTTTGTAAAGAAGAGGCTGGAGAGAGACCAGAGAGAGACCAGAGAGAGAGACCAGAGAGAGAGACCAGAGAGAGACCAGAGAGAGACCAGAGAGAGACCAGAGAGAAACCAGAGAGAGACCAGAGAGAGACAGAAGAGAGAAACCAGAGAGAGACCAGAGAGAGACCAGAGAGAAACCAGAGAGAAACCAGAGAGAGACCAGAGAGAAACCAGAGAGAGACCAGAGAGAGACCAGAGAGAGACTGGAGAGAAACCAGAGAGAGACCAGAGAGAGACTGAAGAGAGAAACCAGAGAGAGAGACCAGAGACCAGAGAGAGACCAGAGAGAGACCAGAGAGAGACTGACCAGAGAGAGACCAGAGAGAGAGAGAGAGAGACCAGAGAGAGACCAGAGAGAGACGAAAGAGAGACCAGAAAGAGAGACCAGAGAGAGACGAAAGAGAGACCAGAGAGAGAGACCAGAGAGAAACCAGAGAGAGAGACCAGAGAGAGAGACCAGAGAGAGACCAGAGGGAGAGACCAGAGAGAGACCGGAGAGAGACCAGAGAGAGACCAGAGAGAGACCAGAGAGAGACCAGAGAGAGATCAGAGAGAGACCAGAGAGAGACCAGAGAGAGACCAGAGAGAGACCAGAGAGAGACCAGAGAGAGACCAGAGATAGACCAGAGAGAGAGACCAGAGAGAGACCAGAGAGAGACCAGAGATAGACCAGAAAGAGACCAGAGAGAGACCAGAGAGAGACCAGAGATAGACCAGAAAGAGAGACCAGAGAGAGCTCAATGTGATGAGGGAAAGACCAGATCCAAGCTACACTCATGGTATTGGATTGAAACGAGTGTTTTTTGTCTCAATCTGACACTTTCAGACTGTGACGAGATTCTCCAAAGTTTTTTAGTCTTATTTCAAAAACTGTTGCTTTATTTCCTCATTCCAAGATCATTTTGCTTTGTCCCATCGGGGAATCTGGTTTAAAGCAGTCGCAATGTCCCAAAGTTAAGCAATTTTTTACTTATTATTCATCATTTTTTGCAGTGTACTAAGTCTTTCCAGTTTTTAATAAAGCTGGATTTCTAAAAGCAGCTTATTTGTAAAGGAGACATTTCTTGCGCCCTTTTGACACAAAATCATTTCACTTTGTCCCATTGGAGAATCTTGTTTAGTCAAAATGTGCCAAAATTAAGCTACATATTTGCCAAATTTAATAAATGCCAAATATCTTTCATCACTTTTTGCAGTGCACAAAATGGAGGGACAGATGGAGCTTTCCAAGAGAGCTGTCCGTGAGAAAACATTTAGAATCCTTGGATGCAATGAGCCAGATTTAAAAACATAACTTTCACTGTTCTTAATCAGACGATAAAAAACAGAACTCTTTTTGCCAGACTTTGCCGTAGTTTCTTTCCCGATCACATTTTTAACTGATTTTTGCCGCAATCTCGCCTGATTTTCTGC